ATTTAATACCCAACTTCACCAACGGCACGTGCATCGCACGTGTGTCAAACTAATAGTTTTTAAAAATGGTAGAAGATGTATGTAATACTCAAATATGGAAGATTAGTGTTATGTTTAAAACATGAGAGGGTATCTTTGATATTATTAGAAAAGGTAATTAGCACATAACGTCCTCACCTTTCACTGTTATTGTGGAAAACGTCCTTACCTTTCATTTTTTGACATTTTCACCCTTATTTTTACATTTCATTGTGCAAAATGTCATTTTTATTCATTTTCTCAATTAAAAATTATGAAATGACATATATATCATTCCCTTTAAATAAAACAAAAGGAAAAAGAAAAAAATTAATTACAAATATAGTCCTAATTTTTTTTTTTTGGAAAAAGGCAAATGAGTCCCAAATAAATTATTAAAAGGGTAATTAACACATAATATCCCTAACTTTCACTATTATTGCAAAAAAAATCAATACATTTTATTTTTTTTAGCATTTTCACCCTTAATTGCACATTTGATAACGCAAACCATCATTTTTATCAATTTTCATCCAATTTCTTAATAAAAGATGTGAAATGAAGAAATATACCCCCATATTTAAATAAAAAAAATAAAAAATTAATTGCAATCATAGTCCCAAATTTTTTAAAAAGTACAAACGAGTCCCAATTAATTTATTGAAAAATTAAAAATAAAAAAAACTATTTAACAATTTTTTATTGAGAAATTGAATGGAAATTATGGTTTGCACAATCAAATATGTAATAAAGGGTGAAAATAAAAAAAAAAAAAAATGAAAGATAGGGAAGTTTTTCGCAGTAAAGGTGAAAGATAGGGACATCATGTACTAATTACCCTTTTAATAATTTGTTTGAGATTCATTTGCGTTTTTTAAAAAAACTTAGGATTATGGTTGTAATTAATTTTTTTTCTTTTTCTTTTTTGTTTTATTTAAAGAGGAGGGTATATTCGTCATTTCACAATTTTTAATTGGGAAAATAGATTAAAATGACATTTTGTGCAATGAAATATAAAATTAAAGATGAAAATGCCAAAAATGAAAGGTAGTGACTTTTTCCACAAAAACAATGAAAGGCGGAGACATCATGTGCTAATTACCCTTATTAGAAATTTGAAGGAATTTATGATAGTCTCTTTATTATTTTACTAGTTGATGCACGTGCAATGCACGCGTTTGAATTTAGTTGTCTATTTAATAGTGTGGAGTGATTGTTAGATATCCAAATTGCATTAGATTTATAGTTATATAGTATATAGTATTCGAATAGAATAAGACAAAATGAAGACAAATTTAATGCTNTGAAGACAAATTTAATGCTTGATGGTAACTAAAGATGAAACTTAAAGACGGAAAATATGCAATTTGCGTAAGCGCCCAATTTTCATCTGTGGGACAGACCTTTTATACGAAAAACATTGGGATTTCATCGTTTACAAATTTTGTTTTTCTGTAACATAGTATGACCACTATGGTAAAACGTCGTACGTCACCATTTCTTCTTAAATTTGTTCGTAGTGGCCAAATTTAAATATTTAAAGAGGAGCTTACAATATTCATCATTCAACTTTAGCTGTGCCTCCACCAGGAATGCTGCTGTTATCAGCATCAGTCTCTCTCACAAACCTAAAATTGGCAAGAAAAGAGTTGGCATCAATCATAAGCGGCTGCATAAGGTTCATGAGCTCAAAATAATTTATTACCAATAAGTTAATAATTTGGAAGAAAATAAAGCTATCACGGAGGAAACAAATAGTACCTCGCTAATTTATCTCGAGATGATTGCAAAATGTAGATTGAGAGCATAAACGAAAGTATAAGACTTGAACGTGCAAATTCAGCAGATAGTGAGAAATAAAAACTACAATGCCAAAAATTAATTTTGGGTATTTTGCCATTCCAAAAGCAAGTTTACCTGATCCAAAGAGGACATAAAATCCAGAAGCCACGTCAATCTCCGACTGTTCTTCCCTATCAAAAATCAGAACATAGTTTTAGAAAACATCAATTGTGATATGTGAAAGAAAATAATTGGAATCGGTATAAGCTCAAACAATAGGTATAAGATGCAGATTAATTATACTGGACCAAAAACAATGCCCAACATTCTGAACTTGTAAATGAAGCTGATGTTCAACGCAAAAATACACGTCTCTAGCAATGGCATCTAATTGTTAATCCTCGATCCCATGTATCAAATAAATTACAGCAAAAAACGAGCAATGCTTTTTATGGGACATTTGTAAACATGCACACAATTTTCAAAGGACAGGCAAGCAAGATTCAAGTTCAGATCATCCAAGTCGGCATCCGTGAACTGCAATATATCAGCGAACTTTTAAAAGAAATACATTCTCTATCAAAAATACATTCTCTAGCCTGGCATCTAATTGTTAATCCTCGATCCCAGGTATCAAATAAATTACAGCCAGAAATGAGCAATGCTTTTTATGGGACATTTGTAAACATACACACAATTTTCAAAGGACAGGCAAGCAAGATTCAAGTTCAGATCATCCAAGTTGGCATCCGTGAACTGCAATATATCAGCGAACTTTTAAAAGAAATACATTATCTATCAAAAAAGTGGTTTTGCTTGCTTTTCTTGCATGGATTACTTTCCACTTGATATCTGTTAAATAAGTTAGAAAATATGCAATCAACAAGTAGATAAAATAAATCAAATTATTGCACAAATTATTAGAGTTTTACATTCATAAAGTTATTTGGGAAGTGCAAATATGCGAAACATTGCTAACACAGAATCAAACATAATACACTCCTTTCCATGAATAGAAATATTTCGTAAAGCTAGATTTTGAACGTATGGGAGCACAAAGTTTATATATTAAAGAAGTATATGAAATTTAAATATCATAATAGATGCCTTCAGAGCACAAATATTAGCATTGTGTATTACTTATTTGTCACAAAAATAGCTGAAAAAAAGGTAGAAGAAGATGCTTGTGAAGCTGGAGAAAAAAATAGAGAAACAGGTGAAAAAATGATGATGAAAATGGGTTAAAATCTGGTGTAAATGATACGATTCAAAGCTTAAAAACTAATCCTTGATGATTAGAGCTGGAAAACTGATTCTAAGCTTCAAAAAATTGGAAGAAAAATGCTGAAACAAATGGTTGAAAACAAGCTGAAAAGGCTGAAGAAAAACAGAGCAACAATATCAAATCCGGTGAGTTGAGTGCAAATACGGTGAGATTACTGCAAATCCGGTGAGATGAGTGCAAATACGATAATTTCAATTTTTTCTTCCATAACCAGTAAAACCATTACCAATCCGGTAAGACCCTTGCATATACGGTATGAGAAATGTAAATCCGGTAAGATTGATCAAATCCGGTAAGTTCAATTAAAATTGAAGAATTGTAAATCCGGTAGGTAAGAAGACAATCCGGTAAGCTGAGTGCAATACCGGTATGCTCATTGAAAATCCTGTATCTTCAAGAAACTGAACAGCAGCTACTTGATTGAACAACTAAAATCAAATCTGGAAATGCAAAATGGAGGTTTCAAAAACTGATGATGCAAGTGAAGATTCTTCTTTGTATGTAGTTGATTCAAAGCCAAAAAGAGTTGTCAATTATGAGGTAGAATTGCAACTGGATTTTGAAGAAGCTCATCGTATTTGCATATTTCTCACTGTAAATGCATTAAACTCACTGGTTTTGTCAGGAAAATTCTATTTTTTTTCTCTTTTTTTTCAACGTCATAGAGTAAAACTAGAAAAGAATTGCGATAAAAAGTCGTGAGGTATGTACTGTTGAACCTAGAACAATACCCAAACGAAAATTAATAGATTCAACAGCTTGTGCAGGCTGAATGAAAAGGTATACACCAAAATCCTCTTTTCCCTTCGAAAAGAAAGCAATCAACGGACTGAATTCTTGGTAAAAATGGTTTTATGATATGTTATATATAAAGGAAATTTTCAATCCAAAATAGAAGTAATAATAAGCGTGCTACATGTATTGTGATTGAGAAAGCAACAAATTTTTTCACAAGTAATACAAAGAAGAAAACACTAAGGACCAAATACATGCGAAAACAGTATGAAGGTTCATACCTCCATAATCCTTCTTCTTGACATCCAAGTAGTAATCAGGGATTGGTTGTGGAATGGTCTTTATTTAGCATGGATTGTTTGGAGCACTGCTCCAATTTTTTTCCAAGAAGTGTACGAAGAAGTACCAAGGGTAAAGAAACAAAGGCTAGATTATGAAGATAATCACTATCGTGCCAAAGGGAATGGGTGTTAGAGACCATAAAATAACTTAAACTAAGATTTGAATCAAAACTTAAAATCTATAGGTAATTAAACATCTAGAAATAAGGTGCTATTAGATAATAGTAAGAATAAACATGTATTATTTGCAAAGGGGATTGATTAAAGATGTAACGGAATGAAAGACAATAGATAAATGTAGAAATCTGTCTAGCATTGCATCCCTATTATCCCCAATTGAGGTTTGTGCCTTGGAAAACTTTCTATATCATCATAAAAAATTAGCTTACCACTTGAGCTTTTTTTGACTTATCATCGTCGCTATCTTCTTCATTTCCTGAGATTTTCCTGTATGAGAAAAATACAAACAGTTTAATCTCAATTTTGAAATTTGATAATAGATAAGAAAACAAAAATGTTATAGCCTCATAAACCTTCTTTTGGCAGTAGATGTATCCTCAGCAAAAGCATGTGAATTACCTAAATTGGAAACCTTGCAAATGGTGTTCTTTAGAAAATCAAACACATTAAAGCTTTGTACATATTACTTCCTGAGAAAAGCAAGGATAAACTTAAATAATTGTGAGTTGATATATGTATAATATATCTCCAAACTACATCAAAAGGTAAGAGCTTAGAGGGAAGTAATCCTCCAGTCATAGAAACTATAGGTGGCGTCAAGTATCACTTCTTCTTAGGGATTGGTTGTGCAATGGTTTTCATTTGGTATGGATTCTTTGGAGCACAGCTCCAGTTTTTCCAACAAGTGTACAAAGAAGTGCCAAGGGGAAAGAAACAAAGCCCATATTTTGAAGACAATCATTATTGTGCCAAAAGGAATGGCTGCTAGAGACTATAAAATAACTTGTATTCAGATTTGAATCAGAACCTAAAATTTATAGCTAATTAAATATCTAGAAACAAAGTGCTGTTAGATAATAGTAAGAATAAACATGTATTATTTGCAAAGAGGATTGGTTAAAGATGTAATGGAATGAAAGACAATAGATAAATGTAGAAACCTGTTTTAGCATTCCATCCTTATTATTCCGAATTGAGGTTTTTGCCTTGAAAAACTTTTCATTCCAAGTAGAATGTTCCCCTCTCCGAGCATTTTGTAAGCAAATGTAAGAGTTCTTGTAAGCAAGTGGAAGGGTTTGTAATCCAGCCTCCTCATATTTATTTAAATGCTTGGTGGTAGATTCTTCATACATTTTCCATTTTTTGATAGGTTATCAAATATTATGTTATAAAGAAGAGAAATAGCATTAGATTTCAGAGCATATAATGTAGCCTAAATATAGTCCTAAAAGGAAAAGATCATACTAAAAGAAAAAACAAAAAATCACAAAGCTTACCTGTGTATTGCTTGATTACTAAAACTAACTTTTAAGCTAATTTTTTAAATGGACATTAGTGATTTATGTACATTATCTAATAGCTTAACTTTTTAGATTAACTGTTTGAACATGTTATTAAGAGGAAACAAAGGTTTTGATTTCAAGTATTGCTGCCACCCATTTAAATAAATTGTGGATCTTATGTATATGCGGTCCTATTTAAAAATCTAAACTTTTACTTCAAGTGGTTGAATTGACAACACATAAATCATATAAACAATATGTTGAAAATGATGCAACAGTTAATGGCCACATTGTACTTTAGAATGATGAGAAGATTACCTGTTTTTTCCTCATGAGATTCTTCAAATCTTCAACATCATTTCTGTGTATGACAAAGAAAATTCATATCTGACAAAGTAAATCGTGGTTAGGTGTTTAAACATTAAAACTGAAATATATGAATTACATTCTAGAAATTTTTTAAGTTGCTTTAATCATATATTTGAAAATATTTAGGATGAAGGATTAATTTCATATCTTACCTATTTGTCTGCTTGAATGTTACACTTTCGCATAACTAAAATCAGGAAGGAGGATATAAAAAGTATTTGTCACAGCAAATATCTACTGCAATTTTTTGCCTGTATATCGTCATTCTGTCCGATGAAATGGATTCTAGGGGATGTCCAAAAATGAAGCATTCTATATATTTCAGTAAAAAAATTGGACAATTTAGCCTGAGGAAAATGGTGTAAGTTAGGTTACATAACTAATATAAATGTAAGTACCAAATGAAATATTATAATAATGAATACATATATTACTTATCCATTATTTGCACATGGTAATTTAGTTGCGATTTCTACTCTCATCTTTTTGTTTCTATTCTTCCTTATATCTGTGCTGATGAAGAATGATGAAGATAGTAACAAATATTGGACGACATTTAATACTGGATTTGCGAATTCCATGACCTCTTGTGGCATATGAACGGTGTTGCTACAATCATATATCCTAAATTTCCATTCACTAAAATTTACTTAAAAGAGGTACCAGTAATTGTCTGCAAGTTCACATGGAATTAGTAGATAATTGCACTTTATCCATGGTCTACCAGCCATTGGTACATTGCTAGCCATGTATTCTTCTAACCGTCGAATATCAAAAAAGCTTTGATCTTTGCTTGCAGTTTTTTTCTTTTATGCTTTTCATCATCTGCAAATGGTTAGAGCATTCGATTTCAAAGCCGAAATTGAGAATTGCATACTCTTTCGAAACATGGCTGGAATCGTCATTGATAAGTCGTCTCAATAATGTCAACTCGACTTCAAGATTCTAGCAATAAGTAAATGTAAATTAAATATAGTATGTAATAAACTAATTTAAGATGAATGAAGTTTACTAACCTTAACATTGATGTGTTGCGTTATATCCATTATAGTTTTTAGTGTATCTATTTTGTGCATATGTCCTGCTCTATCACCCCAATACATGCTGCATAATATAATAATATAACTGGAATTAGTTTGAGATATATAGAAGTAAAAGTATAATAGTCAAGATAGTTAGATTGTTTACCTGGATGGATGTGTTTGTATCCAATCTGTAATTACGATATATCTTTCCATATCATAATCTTCTAAAGGAAAGCTCTTTGGAAATTGTATTTGTTTTCCTTTATCTTTTTTTTCTTTTGTCAACCTTCGTTGAGACGAGCTTGATTGGATGTCTTCGTAGCACTGTTGTTGTAAGTGGTGGTGTTGTTGAAAATGTTCTTGCTGCCAATTCTACTGTTGTTGAAACAATTGTTGTTGGTTTTCAAGAATTGCTTCATTGTGATGTCTTGATTGATCAATGATGTTTGTTTGGAACGTGTTGCAAAAATTTGATACATCTGATGTCAGATGTTGTCTATGTACATTCAGCATAGCCTCTATATCTTCTCTAGTATGCTGTCTATGTATGTTTAACATGTCTTCAATTTCTTGTTTAGTGACATAATTGCATTCAATGGAAGAACTTTCGCCAACTCCAACCGAAGGATGTGTCATAGGATGAGTATCACCGTCAATTTGGTTTCCTGCATTGTTTAGTTCTCCTCTAACAATACGATCTAGTATATCATTTTCATTGTCATGCGGTAAAGAAAGAGTGGTATACCATACTGTTTCCAACTCTTCGTCATCAGGTTCCAAAATTGCAATCACTTTAATCTGGGATTATTTTAAAATTATATAATCAAATGGGGATTATTCTAAACATATATAATTTAATGAGAAAAATAATGAAATATTGAAAATACCTTTTTGGTAGCCAAATACTTTTTAACTTTTTGTTCTGTCAAAAATTTATTGAGCTTCCATCTATGCATTCTTGGAGTCTGTGCTGTTTTGTACCTACGATTCTGAATTTTGCTCCAACTCGGGGAAAAACTTCGTATATCCAACACTGAAAATTAATTAATATAAAGATTAGATATTATATATAAACTTTATAGTATAAAATATAAGAATAAAAGATTATAGCAATATAATAAAATACCTGAAATACAATTGGATATCCATTCAATGTATATTTACATTCATATTCTTGATTTTGTTGCATCTTGTGTAATCTTTGGATGTAGGATTGTTGCAATGAATTTAATAAAACAAAATATGCTGTACACCCCCAGGGATAATCAATGAAGTTGTTAAGATCTTCCACCATGCCTAGAGTTTTATAATCAATATTTCTTCCGATAGGCGTCAACACACACTCTACTAACATAACCAATCCTAGCTTAAATTTATCTTCCTGATGCTGGCAGAGATGAAATACTTCAAGAAGCATTGACATGCTAATTTTCTTTGTACCATTAAAATACTGATTTCTAAGTCGGATATTATTAGAGCGAAGGTTAACTGATATCTCGTGGCATGGTAAGCCTTTCATGAGACAGAAATCTTGCAAACTGTGACAACTGATCATCTAATTTAACCCAAACCTCATTGTTTTTTCCAGAATCTACAAATCTCATTATGAATTCATTGATTAACTTACTACTGAACTACTGTTCTTCGTCTCCTCTATGTATCATTCCATATATAAATCTATGGAACTTACTGCTCAATAAAAAGGCTTGTTCATCTACATGTATTAGCTCTACAAAATCTTTCACATATCGATAATTTGAGAATTGAGAGATTGTGGCAGAGAACCATTGACTGGGAGATAGTATATATTGTAAAGCCATCTGCAAGAACAGAATTAGATAGAATTTATTAAATTTGATAGTCAACCATAAAATTTGCTTTACGATAAAACCATGAAGATATAATATGATTCACTTTTTTTATTTTCTTTATCTTTATATACAGTATTTGAATATTAACTACCTGGATATGAAGTCCTTTACATATGAAAAAAGATTATAGTAAAAAATGATTTCTTGATATAATTTGTTTTGATAGATAATCCATTCATGCAATTGAAATAACTTTCGAATTTATTTAAAAACATGACTGTGGCTAGCAAAAAAATCAATTTGGCACAAAAATTTAGACGTTGTGATGAATTAAATGAATACAGAGTTATTCCGAGAGTAACTTATCGATCACCCTAATAATTCATAAAGATACACAACTATAGCAACAAGGAAAACCAGAGCAATGTAAAGAAATGTTGTATCTATTTTTCAAATGTGTCAATAGAATGTTGAGCAAATTGCTTCATTCCCCAAGTTTAATATATGAATGATGCAAGTAGAATATAAGAATAGAGAATAAAGTCAAAGCTTTAAACTTAGAATGAGCTTATATTTTTTGGAGCATGTCTTTCTCTAAAAGATAGAAGCATGTAGAATACCAGTATCAGTAAGCATTTACCTTTGTAAAAATAGAGTAAAGATGTGATACTTTGGCAGTTTCGATGGAATCAGTAGGATGCTATCGATCTGGCAAAGTATCATCAGAGGCATTTTGAGGAGAGTCTGTTTTTGTTTTGTCAGGAATCTCGAAAATTCATAATTTAAAATTACGGTTTGAGCAAAAGATTGATCCAAAGTACTCATTTTATATATAGAAACTTGCATGCAATTCTGGAAAGTTTTACATAAAATTATAACAAATTAACTAAATTGTTACAAGAATATAGTTTTAAGCTCGTTTTTAGATAATTAAGATCAGGAGTTGTATGATAATTTCATAATTAATCCATCGCACGGAAAGGAAAATGTACCAGCTCAGCTTGAGAATACTTGAATGAATGCTGAGAGATATAACAATTGACCAATAGGCACTATCAAATTCGATCACACCTGGGTAAATTGAATCGAAAATCATTAGTGGTTTCGGATGTCAGGAAAAATTAAAGGAGCTAACTGTCGAGACATGGTTATGTCTTTGTTGTGCACGGAGACATGCATCATGCCTCCGTGGGCAACGTAGGCACGGTGTGCCTTCGTGTCTCACGGAGACACAGAGGCACATCGGGTTTCCTTGTGTCACGGAGACAGAAACGGTGTCTCTGTTGTGCACGGAAGCACGGCGTGGCTCCGTGTCCCCGTTGTGCACGGAGACATAGCGTGCCTCCATGTCTCACGGAGATACGAACCGTGTCTTCATGAGATAGAAGGCACGTTGTCCGTCGTGTCTCACGCAAACACGATCCGTGTCTCACGGAGGCACAAACTCGTGGCTTGTAGAGACAAGGCTGGTGTCTCCTTGAGACATTATCCGATAGCATCCCTCTGTTAACTGAGAGTTTAACTGACAAAAAAAAGGTACTTTTTCGGTAGAGGTGCGGTGATGACAATTCTGGCTTGAGGATGGATGAAAGAGGAGAATGGATAAAAATGAATTGGTTGAAAATGAAAAAAATGAATGTTTAAG